CCAGTCCAGAACGCTACCTGCTCTCTCACTGTACCCCCTCCCGTCTCCCAGTCCAGAACGCTATCTGCTCTCTCACTGAATTCCTCTCCCCTCTCCCAGTCCACAACGCTACCTGCTCTCTTATTGTATCCCCCACGCCCCTCCCTGCCCAAACGCTAACTGTAGGTGAACAGCCTACCTCAGTTACCATAAGTGATTGTCTAAACTGTCAATCACCAGCTGTGTTACCGCCCCCGATGACGTGCAGGAGCCCAGAGTACAGTTTTAAAGTCTGTGAATGATATGAAACATTGTGGGCTGTGAGGAAGCCATTGACAGGTTGGTGGAGCATACAGGTCGGTGACAGATGAAGTTCAAAGCAGAGGCCAGATGGATATGTGGTTTGAAGAACGTGGAGAGACAAAATGCAATAGTGGGTACAATTCTAACGGGGTGCAGGTGCAGAGGGATCTGGGTGAATATATTCACAGATGATTAAACTGGCAAGACATATGGAAACAGTGGTATATGACGTATACAGTGTTCTTGGCATCATTAACCAGGGCATGGAGTACAACAGGGGAGGAGATGGATTAGCCCTAATGTTACTGAGCTAGGAAGTCAGAGCCTTAGACTAATGTCCTGGGGACACGGGTTCAAGTGGATGGAATTTTCACCTTGGGTAAATTTTAATAGAAGTCTGGAATTAAAAAGCAAGCCCAATGGTCCCCCATGTCAGCCACAGATTAGCCATTGAATAGCAGAACAAGCTCTAGGCCTGAATGGCCCACTCCTGTTCCTCTGTTGTTCGGTAACATTGGACAGTTTGGAAAGCGAATGGAAGCCCAACTAGATCCTAACTATGTATAGAAATGGGGAGGTCAGTTACAGAAAACATTCACAAGTGTCTGTCTTCCAATCCCACACTTGAGGTTCACCAATGATGGGAAAATGTGAAGTTGTTCTTTCCAGAAAGGACAAGAAAAGAACAGTGTTATTTAAAAACCAAAAGAGCTGCGGATGCTGTAAATCAGGAACAAAAACTAAGCTGCTGGAAAAGCTCAGCAGGTCTGGCAGCATCTGTGAAGGAGAAAACAGAGTTAACGTTTCGGGTCCGGTGACCCTTCCTCAGAACCC